GCGAAAAATTTTATAGAGATAGTATTTTCTCTAAAGAAGCAATATTATCTTTTATATAATGATGAAATGCGCAATGATTGTGTAATAATTAAGAATTATATTCTTTGATTTGTTTTCTCATAAATATTATGGCACTTATTTTACATGTTTAAATTAATAAAATAGTACGCTTACATCAAACAGAAATGTGTTATGTTCGTTTTTGACTGCCATGAATCTGACTCTAGTCGGCATAGAAGTCTGAAGTCAATTTCAGACTTCTGACTCCAGATTGAATTCCATCTTAAGCCTCATCTACATAAGTCGCAAATGCAAAACGCAAACGCAAACGCGGACGTTTCTCTCTTTCTTTTCTTGTATTTTTTGACGTTTCGTTCTTTTTTTTTCTCCGCGTTTGTGTTTGCGTTGTGCGTTTGCGACTTATGTAGATGAGGCTTTATAGTTGATATCAAGCGACTGATATTTCCACTGTTAGCCAAATCACTTATTGTTAATCTTTTAGTCACCTTTATGGAGATTATTAGCTCACAATATCTTTTCGTTACAATATTAATTGTCTTGTAAGATTAAATTAGATCATATTTTGATTTTGAGAAAAATCGCCAATACTATAGTATCGCTAGATACGAATCTGACAAACATATCATACAACAGATATCATACAACAGTGTCCCAGTTTAACTTTTGCGTCGAAATATCTTGGAAGGAAACGGAAAAATGCTTCAGATAAGAAAAATTGTGCTGTCTGAAGGAAAACAAATATAAATGTTAAAAATAATTTTCGAAGAAAATAAATTTTTTTAGATCTAATAAAAGATATCATAATTTTTTTTTAATGAAATTATATGACGAATAAGAAATTTTAACTCAGCCAAGGAACGAGCAAGGTATGATGTGACATGAAATCACAATATCATAATATTATAAAAATTTTATGTTAAATAAAACACACAAAATGTTTCAATTACACATAGTCTTTTTTAGTTAAAATAAATTAAAAATTTTAATAAATTATTATATTAAAAAAACATATATAGAAACCAAATTGTAACGATATATGTATTTAAAATACGATGTATTTAAAAAGATAATTAATTTGACGCTTTAATGGGTCTGCGTATAAGCAAAATTTAAACTACATTAACTAGCTCGTGTTTGAAAAACAAGTAAGAAATTTTAACTCGGCCAAGGAACAAACAATAATTATAATAAATGTTTATAATATTATGATGTAATTTCATGTCACATTATATCATGCTCGTTTCTTGGCCGAGTTAAAATTTCTTATTTGTTTTTCAAAAACGAGCTATTTAATATAGTTTTAATTTTGCTTTTACGCAAACCTACCAATGAGTCCAATTAATTGTCCTTTTAAATAACATTGTTACAATTTAATTTCTATATGTTTCTTTTATTTATTTATTTCAACTGAAGAAGACTGTGCAGTCGAAACGTTTTGTATGTTTTATTTGACCTTATTTTTATAATATTATGATCTTGTGATTTCATGTTAAATCATACCTTGCTCGTTCCTTGGCCGAGTTAAAATTTCTAATTTGTTTTTCAAATACAAACTAGTTAATGTAGTTTTGGAATTATATGATTTTGTGGCCTAGTAAGATTCCTTTAATTATTCTGCATATAAAAATATTTAGGTAAAGCTATCGAAAAATAAATTACTTTACAAGGTATTTTATATTTTATCATGACATACATGTATTTTGACATAAATATGAAATATCTCGTAAACTTCTGGTTTTTTGATAATTATACCTTAATACTGCTTTTATGTACAATCTCTCTCTCTTTCTTTCTCATTTCTATTTTATATTAATTAATAAAGATTATAATTGGCTGTTGTTTATAGCTAAAATAGTGTATACTGGTACTTGCAATAAAACAGATATACAATAATTAAAAGATAATGACTCTTTAATTAACAAATATTAAACAGATGACAAAGGCAGTTAAGAGTCTCACGCAGTTCTTGGTGCGTATATATTCTTGGTTTATTCCAATATTCTTTACATTAAATCCTTCGCGAA